CGTCCATTCAATGCGCACTCACTCAAGTACAGCTCCTTCAGTGCCCTGCACTTCCCCAACTGCTTGCACCATGATTTTGCTATAACACCCAGGAAACTCTTAGTAAGATCCAATCTAACCAAGTTGGGTAGACCACTGAGTCCCTTAGCAACATGTACCATGTCCTGTCCATTCAATGAGCATCTTTTCAAGTTCAGGTACTGCAGTGCCCTGTATTGCCCCAGCTGCTTGCCCCATAATGCTGCTGCACCACCCAGGTTACTCCCAGAAAGATACAATGCAACCAGGTTGGGTAGACCACTGAAAGCCTCAACAATATTTGGTGCACAACGTGCATAGCCTATTACGTATAATTCAGAAACATCTGCATTGCCACTGTCCTTGATCTGCTCAACAAAGTATTTAACTGAGTTTTTACAGTCATTGTCGAGATTCTTAATGACAATGCGATCAGTTAGAAATGAATGCATGACTTCCTCGGGAGGCAAACATTTGCACTGACCTTCAAAGTAACAGTGGAGTGCCAACTGACCCACCTTTTTGCCAAATGACAAATCCTTCTGACGCCTCTCCTGAAATACCTTCAGTATCTCCAATGTACATGCCTCATTGTCACCACAACAAAAGCGCAGAAGGTACTCAAAATCCAATGGGTTCTTCCGCATGATTTCATTCAGAGTGTCATGAAACTCTTCTGTGTTTGCTTGAAGCATACTTTGCAAGTACGCAGCAGCACAAAATTCCTGGAATGTCCTATGAATGAACTGCACACTGTTGTCAGGCTTTAGTCTCTTACAGACTCTCTGTCTTGTCAGAATACCTACTTTTAGAGCTATGTCAAGCACACTCTGTTCAAAATCACTTTCCTTGAAAGTCAGCTCCGGATCTGGAGAGAGAAGACCAATTAAACCAACCTTGCCAAGAGCAACCACAACCCTGGACATTTCTTCTTCAGAAACCTTCTTTCTTTTTGTAATGTATTCAATCGCATTTTGATAAAGGCGTGACATTGTTTCTGGGAGTGTGGAGTCTTCTCTCCACAGTAGACACATCAACAGGAGCAGCATTGGACTCTCTGCCAAAGTGGAAAGGTTGCCAAAGGATCCAATCCTTTCTAGAAGCCCCTTTGCCTTGTCAGGTTCATCAGAGT